GACCAATCCTTGGAGAAAGACATCATATTTAGAAGGATGGAGAGACAGCACAGTAGAGGTAGATGAAATGAGATGATACAGTGACCAGCAAAATGGGGGTTGGTATGTTGGAATCAGTGAGACTGGCTCAGGAAAAGGCAGGCTTCAGAGCTGCTGTATGTAGGGTCACTATGGGTCGCAGGTGACTCGATGGCACGTAACAACAAACAACAAAGCAGTAAGATCAATGTTAAAATGAGTAGAAAGAGGTGCAGAAGTGTGGGGCACATGAAAATGGGTTTTGTGTTGTTGATGTTGCTGAGAGGGACAGTTCCCCTTTGTGAAGTTGGTAAAAGTCATACATGGCTGCCCCCATGCAGCCCTTGCACTTTTTTACATGCAGAATAGGGGAAGATTTAGACCCGCTATTCATAGGGTCATTTTAAGTTGTTGTTGTTGTTGTTATGTGCCGTCGAGTCGTTTGCGACTCATAGCAACCCTATGTACAACAGCCCTAAACCCTGCTCTATCCTGTGCCAATCGCATTGCCTCTGACACACCCATCCCGAGTACCCCAGTCACTGAATCAATCCACCTCATAGAGGGTCTTCCCCTCCTGTGCTGTCCCTCTACCCTACCAAGCATGATGTCCTTCTCCAAGGACCTGTCTCTCCTTACAACATGTCCAAAGTATGTTAGACGAAGCCACAGAGTCCTTGCCTCCAAAGAGTAGCCTGGTTTAACCCTCTCTAGGATGAATCTGTTTGTTTTCTTGGCAGTCCATGGAACATTCAATACTCTTCTCCAGCACCACAGCTCAAAGGCATCAATTCTCCTTCTATCCTCCCTAGTCATTGTCCAACTTTCTGATGCATAACAAGTGATTGCAAAGACCATGGCCTGTATCAGGAGCACTTTAGTCTACAGAGAGACACCGTTGCTCTTGAGTACTTTAGAGACGTCCCTAACCGCACACTTTCCCATCGCAATACATTTTTTTAATTTCCTGGCTACTGGTGCCAAGAGTGTTGACCGTGGAGACGAGCAAACTGAAGCTGTGAACAATCCATCCTGATGCTACCGATTGGTCCAGTGGTGAGAGTCTTTGTCTTCTTGACATTGAGCCTCAGTCCATACTGAAGGCTGCAGTCCTTGACCCTCTGCAGTAAGCGCATGAGGTCCTCCTCAGTTTCAACGAGCAGGGTTGTGTCATCTATATAACGCAGATTGTTGATAGATCTTCCACCAATCCTAACGCCACGCTTCTCCTCATAGAGCCCAGCCTCTCGGATAATCTGCTCTGCATACAGGTTGAAAAGGTATGGAGATAGGACACATCCGTGGCATATACCCCTCTCAATTTTGAACCAGGCAGTGTTGCCCTGTTCTATCTGACGACTGCCTCTTGGTCCAAGTATAGGTTTCGCATTAGCATGACTAAATGTTCTGGGATTCCCATTCTTCTCACAGTCAGCCACAGTTGGTTATGATCCACACAGGCAAATGCCTTTGCAGAATCAATGAAACACAGACAGACATTCTTCATTTTAAGTTACAGTTGACTAAATAACACCTAACGACAAAGATATTAACCAAGGTGTTTCTAATTAATAAACTAATGTTTATTAATGACTTATTATATCCTAGTCAGAATGATGATTTTAAAACAGAAGTCAGATCATCTGACTTGTTTCCTTTACTTAAGGTTAGAATAAAAATGTTTACAATGACCTCAACAGATCCTTTACTTTTCTGATCTTATTTCAACTGTTCTTCCCTTCAACCATTCTTCCTATACTTCCAACTTCACTTTTCCATAGACTTCAAGGTACCCTTTTTCCTCTGCCAAAAAGCCTTTCCTTGCGAATTCTGTTATTTCCCTTACCTCCTTCAATTAGTTTCTTCCCATCTCCTCTTTCAGTATTTAATGGACCACTGGTAGCCCAGCAGTTAAAGCCCTCAATGTCTAAGTTTTGGTTAGCAGTTTGGCCCACTAGCTGCTCCAAAGGAGATAGATGTGGCTACATGATGATCTGCATGCAGCCTTGGAAGCCCAATGGTGCAGCTCTACTCTGCCCTATGGCATTGCTATGAATAGGAATGGATTTAAGACCAGCGAGTGTGGAGGTTTGATTAGTTTTAATGAGTAGGTAAGCTCCTTCTTAATTTTCTTTGGTTGGTGTTTATAATTTGAACTTTTGTTTACATTACTTACAGAAGCATTTACAACTGAGAACTACAATTTCAGTTGAGAACCAATAATTTTTAAGAAGCAAATTTATAAATAGAAGGGTTCATAAACAAGTGTTTTATCTCTATGTTTGAAGATTAACAGGTTGAAAATATTCAAGACTTGCTATGAGTCAAATGAGTATGAATTATCTATGCTTTCCTGTCAATAAAATACTAAAAATATTGAAACTAACAAACAATAATCTGAGACTGGAAAAGCTATTACTGAACTTTGTGTCTTGAGAATAAAGACTTGCTTTACTAGACAGTAAAATGACAACTGTAAAGTTGCCAGCTCATTTTCTTTTTTTTTTTTTGAAAGTAAGTTTTTGTTTTTATACGAACAGAAGTAGACCATCTAGAAATATTTCCGTTTTATTTAAATTGTTAAGTAGAATATGAAACTGAATTCTTAACTAGTACCAGAGAATGGATTTATCTGTTTGGTGTTTAATAATTTTCTTTCTTTAAGGCACAAAATTTCTTTGTTCAAGAGAGATCCCTTTTAGAAGCCCAAATGGAAAAGTGATTTAAAAAGAGAATGCCTTGATAAAAACAAGTAAAGAGAGGTCCTCCAGTTCACCTACTATACACTAAGAATTTCATGAAGGATACTGAGATATCAGAAGGCGTTGCAGAAAGAAGTCTATAAACCAGTCTCACTACCTCCTCCCCAGTTCTTCCTAAACTACCACCAACAATATCTGGGCATTTTACATAAGTAATGGCATTTGTAATTGGAATCATTTAACTTGGATTATTTTATTACAGATAATTTTTTTTTAATTAAGAGCTATCTTTCTAGGTTAGCTGCACAATGTATGCAGCAGGTTAAGCAGAAGAATGATACAGAATCTTGTATTTATGTTCAGATCTGCAAATCAGCCACTGTGGTATTGCTGCTGGTGACTTTGTTTATCTTATGAGGAGACGGAGAAAGTTGAGTCCTCATTTTGGCTATAACTGATTCTGTACAGTATTAATGATTCAAGAAGATTTTGTCCTGTACTTAGAGCATAATAAATTAAGACTTCTAAAATATAAATACAACTTCAATTATATTTATTGGTAATGGGTTGGTCAGAGCGTCTCTTGTGATAGCAGATAAAACAATTATTTTCAACTTTACTAAAATCATGTTATCACTCTAAAATAAAACTGTGACAAATTCAAGACAATAAATAGACTATCAGTAGTATTATTTTCTTCATTTAACAACCCAGGAAATGTTAAATGACTTAATTAGGGTCACCTGGTAAATAAGTGTCCAGATTTCATCTAATGCTTTAACACTAATCTTTTAGAATTAAAATTCTAGATAAGGCACAGTTTCTTGTGTTCACCACTGCCAGCACCTAGGATGGTACCAGGCATACATAGCGCTGGAGTTAATGCTGCCATCAGTGTATTGGTCCACAACAAGTATCATGAGAAAACTCACAAAACTCATTAACCCTGGGTCCGAACAGACTCATAGGACCCTCGAGTTGGTTTCTGAGGCTGGAAATCATACTGCAGAAGACTGTTCATCTTTCTTTCACTGAAAGACTGGTGGATCTGAAAAGCCAGACAGGCCTTTGGGTTAACACCACAACTCTCTACAGACTATCCACCACAGTCAATTATATCTGACAATGAGGCAAGATGACTTAGAACTAGGCTCTAACTCCTTTTATGTCATTAGCAAGACAAACCTGCAAAGAAGAACTATAGCAAATCTTATTTGTCAACTTGAGCATTTTCCTGCTAGACTGATGCCCCAACTTAAAACACGCTAAAGAAAACACTGCTCTTCCATTTCTAACTTCTAAGTCCATAATGGCCAGAACACAAACAATCCTGTCTGAATTGGGACGTTAACCAGTGTTTGTCCTGGTTAACACTAGGCAAGGCTGGATATGGCATGGAAATGCTGAATGCTTTACACATTTCTAATTGCTACATGGTGATATTATTAACCAATCTAGCATCCTGTTTTCTTAAACGACATTAACTGTAACTTAGTATTCTACGATATTTGGCCAATTCAATAAGCACGTTTATCATTAGTTAACATTCCCACAAATGCAAATATTATTGTACATTTAGTGGCCATATAATTTATTATTCAAAGTAGACTACTTTTAAAAGAGAATGGGGTCCTATTAATAATTAAACATAAGAAATAAACAGTACTGTACTGAGAAAATCACAACATGAATAATACTACTTAAAAGCAAAAATTACTCTTTTTTTCCTTCTTAGGATACTTGAAAGAAATACCTTGTATTATCACAGCCTACAATTCTTAATGTGGGCTACAATTCTTGACAGAGTGCCTTTTTTTGAAACATACATTACCAAATAAGGTCTTGTGTACATATGCCTCATTAAGGTCAACAACACAGCAGTGGTCAGAAATTATTATCATGTTAGGATTTAAAAATTATTTCATTATAAAAATGAGTTTCAACAAAATGGTGTGTGCATATGCTTCACTTGGGTAAATAATGCAGCAGTTTTCAGATTATGGCCCATATTAGGATTTCAAAATCATTTGATTATAAAAATGAGTTAAAAAACACAATGGTCATCTGTGAATTAAAGGTCAATGTTACAGAATTACCTTGTTAATCTTTTAAAGGACAATTTCCATTTTAACCTCCTTCTCTCTAATTATAAAGAACCTCAACATTCCCCTAATCCTATTTTGCTGTCATTCAATTTTATATTCATCAACAGAAATCTTCAGAACCTCTTTATAGAGAAAGTTGGCATCTCTTTCCACAAGCAATCAAAACCATACCAACCTCTGTAAGCTGCTTCAGTTGGCCTCTATTTGCATTTAATTCCTCTGCGAGGTCATTCTTTTTCACTTGCAGCTCATAGATTTCCTTTCTTAATGGATTCACTAGTTCATAGAAACGAATCTTTAAAAAGAAAAGAAATCAACTTAATTAGCAGTCTTGAAATCTAAAACGTAACGGAAATTTGCCAATGTACAGAACTCTCAATTCCTAGGATTGGGAGAATCCATATACTGAAACAGTTAAGTGACATGAATTCTTTATTAAGTTTTAACATTCAGTTGAATTACCTCCAGACTAGATTACCCTCTGTAACTCTCCAACCCCACCATAGTCTTGCTTTCCTTTTTCACACCAGTATTCCTCATCTCCTATTACTACTCACGCCACACTATTTCCTGGACATATGAAGTGCTCACAAGCTTTGTTCTTGCTGTTTCCTCTGCTAGAAAATTTCTGACATAAATGCATGGTTCATCTGTTCACTTCCTTCAGATCTCTGAGCAATGTCAATTTATCCTTTTATTACGTAATTTAAGGAATCATCATCACCCAGTACAAGCTATTGCTCACTCACAGCACTTTTGATAGTCACTCATTCTACACATTTTAGTTTATTATTTGTGTTGCTCTACTAGACTATGTATCTCCAATACCTAAATATATGATGTTGTTATTGGGTGTCACTGAGTTGGAACCAACCCACTGCTGACCCTCCAATGGGTTTTCAGAGATAGTAAATCACAGAGGAGGAGATAGTACAACCTTCTCCCATGGAGCAGATGGTGAATTCAAACTGCAGGCCTTCGGGACTGCAGCACAGCTTCTCACCACCAGGTCACCAGCATTCCCTAAACACAGGATGTCATTGTTGCTGTGTACTGGACAGTTGGAACCGACCATAGCTGTTCCTCCAGAGGGTTTTCAGAGGCAGTTAATTGCACAGGAGGAGACTGCCCATCCTTCTTCTGTGGAGAAGCTGGTGGCCTTGAACTGCGGGCCTTTGGGATTGAAGCACAGTTCCTTGCCACCAGACCTCCAAATACATGATGAGTACTAAATAAATATTTGATGAACGATCAGGTCAGGTTTAAATTTTATTCTATTTCAAGTTCCTGGTTTACGGTGACCAGTTGCTTATGGCAGCCAGTATAGTGTAAGAGACAATCACGAAGAATCGGGAGTTTCCTTTCCTATCACTATTCCCATTAAGTCCACCACTCACAATTCACTCCGGGGACTTTTCCTTGATGGCGCAGTCAATAGGGGGTTGCACTGCTAATCCAAAGGTGAAGATTCTCTAGCAGCTGGAACCCTCCAGTGGCTCCACAGACCAAACAATCTGGGATCAGCTATGAGTTAGTTCTGGTTCAACAGCAATGAGCTGAGTAAACCTGTACAGCATTTCACCCAATAAATTCTTTATTAAGTTTAATAAAGAAGCAAATATAGCAAAAAATAAAGCAAAATTAGGGGAACACAACCAGGGACTATTTCTCATAAAGACAGAGAATCTGAAACTCCTTCGAAACCCAAATCTGTTAATAGGTGCTATCTAAAGCTGGTTCTCCACACAAGTAATCTGTGTATAATTAACCAGTTAGGTAATGCTATCTATGAAAACAAGATATGAGACAAGGAATACTAACAAACTGGGGAGAACACAAAACAAATACAAATGTCACCAACAGAGTATTTCCTATTTGTGTTGGTGGTGTTATACGCCATCAAGTTGCCTGCAGTTCATAATGACCTTATGCACCATAGTTCTGAACCCTGCCCCTTCCTGAACCAAGCTCACTGTTTTGACATACCTAAACCTAAAAGTTCCTTTTTACTGTGCTTAAATCTTCATTGATAGCCTCTGCAACATTTTACTTGCTTTGGACAGTATAATTTGGACAGTATGTTTCTGGCAGAAAAATTATGCATCCACACAATGACATAGCTAGGTTCCAAAAACCAAGTATTCAAGTATCAGTGATATGTGAAAATAAAGAATGACCACATCAGATCAAACTACATCACTGTATGACTGGCAAACACTGAGAATCATGGCTGAGCCAAGATGATACATAACATCCCCAACCAAAGCCAAAGTCACTCTAACCACATGCCTCAGCATTACTTACTACCAGACAGACACACACTGTCACTGTAATCTGTAGGGTACATATTTATTATTATGATAAATGCAGAATGTCAGGTAAATAACAGTCAAAACATGAGGATCAGTGAATGTGACTACTGAAACAAAAAGTTGGACAAAACGGTAACAAATACTTCTTTTATAGAAAATCAGTAATTTGTAAACAATGTCTAAATGAAAACCAAGGTAACAACTGCCACCTCAGGAAAAACAAGTCACTATGTATGTATTATGCCCCAAGTAGGAGAGAGCTCTGGAGGCCGAGTGGAGAAGAGTTGTGCTGTCAACCCAAAGGCACAGGTTTGAATCCACTACCTGCTCTAAGGAGAAAGAGGGGCCATCTCATCCTATGGGATTTATAGTCTCAGAAAACCAGCTGGAGAGTCAGCTAAGGGTTGGTTCCAACTTGACAGCAGTAAGTGTAATATGTTTTTAAGTAACTAAGAAGCCCTGGTGGCACAGTACCTAACCTATAAGGTTTCCAATCTTGTCAGTCTATAAGTCCTATAAAGATTTACAGAGTAAGAGGATTAAAATAGAGGATCACCATGAGGGAGGGTCTCTATGAACTGGAATTGAGTTTATAGCAGTGGGTTTATGTTGTAAGTATTGTGCTAAGCATTTTATACACATAGCCTAAATCCCTACCATTATTATTATTATCATGCTTTCCACAGATTAAAAAAAACCTTGAAAGACATCTTGATGTTTTGTAAAGCAGCAAGTATGAGTGTGCAGCTTGGGGACATCAAGAAGGGTACCAAGGCTCTTTTGGGGGTACATAAGATCAAAATGACTTCCAAGGTAACATTCTCTTTCACTCTCCCTAGTGACTGCACAGGAGGGGACGGCAGAGGCTGCACAATGTGTGATGATGCCATTGCTCTAAAGGCTAATAAGAGTGTGTGTACTCCTGTGCTTAAATGCTGACAAATAGAATTCATATTTTTTTAAAAAAAGGTCGTTGCAATCCTCAACACATTTTTGGAGTATAAAGGTGCCCTTTTGCTCTGTTGTTGTTGTGTGCCACGGAGACGGAACCGACTTGGAGCTGACCCTCCAGTGGGTTTTCAGAGGCTGTAAGCTGCACAGAAGGAGATTTCCCATCCATCTCTAGGAAAGCAGCTGGTGGTTTCAAACAGCAGATTTTTGGGATTGCAACCCAGCTTCTCACCACTGAGCCACCGGAGCTTCCTAAAAGCATCCTGACACCAAGAAAGTCGAGACTACCATACATTAATCCTTTACACAGACATGACCTCTCAACTTTAATTTACATCTTCCTCAACTACTGTTTATCAGATTCAGAGGATACCGCAAAAAGGTCTTACCTACATTTCAATTAATTCCCTCAATGTTTACATATTCCATCCTTAAGACACCAAAACCAGAAAAGTGACATTAGTACCATGTGTATACTTTCAGCCATAATATGGTACATACATTTCTATAACCATCATCACAACAATCAAAATACTATACTACTCTATCACCAGAAAGATCTTTTTCTTGTTAATCATGACCACTATTTAATCATAAGTAAACAAAAGGCCTGAAACCCCTCTATAACTATCAACATTTATGAAAGTTCATAGTGTTTCCAGAGGCATGTTGTTTAGGAAGTGGATGCCACTAAAGCAAGGTAAAATTACGAACTTCAAAAAGGAAAAAAATTTAATTTCTCCCCCCCTCCCCCAATACCTGGTCACAAAGCAAGTAGTTAAGGTGGGGAAAATGGACTATGATCTAATTATCTATTATCCTTATTCTCAGATAGGGAGCTCTGGTGCTCTAGCATCAAGGAATTGCACTGTGATCTCAAAGGCATGCAGTTTAAATTTGTCAGCTGCTCTGCGAGAGAAAGATCCCCCCAAAGAAGCCCGGACTTGGTAAAGAAATGGCTGATTTCAGGATTGCAGTGGGAAATGTCTACATGAGGCTGGAATACTTGATAAAGCTAGCTAGACGTAAAACTTTCAAATATTGAGGCACATGTAAAGGTGCTCACATGAAATGAAATCTCCTTTGTCCAAGATTATAAATTAAACTTGAAAAAAAAGAAAACGGCAACTGACTGAAACCCATAAATGTTCAAATTAACATTCATAAAGATACAGATACTGTGATGCTGTTGTCAGGTACCATCAAGTCTACTATGACTAACAGCAATTCTATGAACAACAGATCAGAACCCAACTTCACCCTGTGCAATCTTCATGTTCTCAAACAACCTCAAGTCCATTGCTGCAGTCACTGTGTCAATCCATTGAGTTGAGGGGCTTACTCTCTTGCTCATCTTATAAATGATAAAAATTTAGTCTGAAAATTTATGAAGTGGACTTTTTTCCAAGTGACACAAGACACTTACAGATACATATTCAGGAATAGAAAGCTGATCTTCAGGGAATGACTTTAATTTCATGTATTGCTCTTCTGCCAACTCAAAGTCACGCAGATTTCGACGAATATCTCCCGCCTTCTCTCTTAGCTGAAGATTTGTCTCTTCTAGCTGTTTCTGTCTCAATAAGATAGTTTCCATTTCTTTTTTCAACAGTTCTTGATATTTTCTATATTAAGAGATAATTAACATTTTTTTAAATCCTTGCGATTCAATTCAATTTCCTCCATTTCATATTTATACAATTCAGAAATTTGAAGCCAGTTTCTATCTCTAGCTAAATGCTTAGCTTATTTAATCAGTTAAGCATAAAATACCAAGAGTACACTAATAATTAGTATGTAGTTTAAAATAAAAATGTACTTATTATATAAAGAATTTGCATTCTTACAGGATAATTTTTAAAGTTAAAACAGTAAAATTGTACATTATCTCTGTTTAAGCTTTAAGTCGCACATTGTTTTTGGACCCTATCATAAAAGTAATTTTCCTTCTTTTTATCCAGGTATTTTAAATATACTTCTTTAAGATGATAATATCAAACCATCAGAGTGCACTCATTTAACCAATGAAGTAAAAAGAAATCAGTATATAGTTCCTTTTATCAAAGAACTACTATAAGCTACTATAGCTACAATAGACACTATGATTGTTGGCTGCCTACCTGAAGATTCTGAGGAGGAAGTGACAATAGGACTTTTTCTCCTTTCTCATTGAGTCAAGGGATTCAGCCCCTAGTTAGCAAACAGTTAAATGGAGAAACTAAGTGTACTTCCTTGTATAAGATAAATGCTTCTGGCTCCAGGCACTGTGGCCAAAGAAAAACAGAGGTTCCAAATGTTGCCCGGCCCTGAGACACATCAGTCAGTTTCAACTGGATATGACCCCCTACACATGAACAAATGAGAGCCCAGAGATTAGCCTAGTGACACATTCCCCCCACAGGGTAATCATACTTACTGAGAATACTATTTTTTTTATCTTGTCTCCAATGACTGATGTGTCGGCACCTTTCCCATCCCCTAAGTAGACATAATCTGAATAAACATATCCATTTTTAGAATATGAACAGGTATGACTCCTCCCTCTGTAAAAAGCCTCCCTGTAAACTCACAATTCTAGGCTGTCCTAGAGGACTGTATAAGGAGTAAAGCTTCTCCCTTTCTTGGTCCGTTAATGCAAACTTCTTTTTTCACTTTCAGTTAGGTGTATGCATAGACCTACTTGAGAGTAAATATCACAGCTTTGTGATGAGCACACGACGGAGCTAGACAAAGCACACAGTTGTGCTAGAAGTGACTTCAAGTCGGGGATATTCAAGGAACATTGGGGCTCACTCAGTATGCTTTTCAGAGCAAAGGAAGAGAAGCTAAACCAGAGAGCAGACTAAGGGGCAGGCCGTTCAGGGAGCTTCTACGTTTGTTGGGCGAATACAACATTTTTTTATATTTTGTGTACTCATCAAGTACACCATATTTTGCTGGTCTGGACACAAAAATTAGTGCCATCTCGAACCTAAAAGTTCTCTATTTTGGCTTACAACCGCATGCATGAGCAGGTAATGGCCTTTCATAGAGAAAATGCACATTGTTGCTTAAAAGCAACAACTAAAAGCAACATTTCTTACCTTGCATCCTTCTGCTGAAAAGTCAGCTGGCTGTCTAACCTCAGGGTGAGCAGCTGCTTCTGATGAAGAGCATCATTAAGCTTCTCTTCCAACTCCTCAATCTTAACAAAGAGGAGGTAAATGATAGAGTCAATTTTCAAATTTATCATAACAAAAGACATGTTATTGTAGTTTTGTACCATTGAGTAGGAACCGACTCAGAGCCGGCCCTCAAGTGGGTTTTCACAGGCAGTGAAAATGTACAGGAGTGGATTGCCTCTTTTCTCTGGCAGAACAGCAGGGGGATCTGGATTGTTTATCTTTGGGTTGACAGAATAACTCCTTACCACTAAGCCACCAGAGCTCCCAAAGAAAGACAGTGATTAAAAAATATTAAATACATATGTCTGAATACATACAAAGGCACACACATATATACATACTTGAAAAAAATTACAAAAACAGGCTGAAAATATACAGGCAATTTTGTACAGAGGAGAGAATAATGGTTGTGTCTACAAATTGCAGTCTTGTTCATTCAAGTGGCTTTCAAATGATAATGTGAAACTATTGTCTCATAAATGATATTTATAAGCTGCCAGTAAGAGGCTATTTTATTCCAGTTACTATGTTTTTTGCTGATGAGCTTACCAAAAATGACATGGTTTTTTTTGCTGGTGCTCCCTATGGTGCTGCAGCCCATACCCCACATCTGTATGAGAGATCTCTGTGTTTGCTGCCATTAAGTCCATTTTCACTTATTATGAACGCATGAGCTACAGCTATTGGTAGCTGTTATCAAGTCAAAGTGACCCTATAAACAACAGATTTGAACACTGTCCTATCCAGTGCCATACTCATGATCTCTGTCCTGCTTAAGTCCATTAAAGCAGTCACTGTGTCAATCCATCTCAGTGAAGGTCTTCCTCTCTTCTACTGTCTTTCCCAGTATGATATTTCTATCCAACTATTGTTTCCTCTTGGTAATATGCCCAAAGTAAGTGAGATGAAGTTTCACTAATCCAATATTCTTTGCCAATATCAAAATTCAAAAGCACTGATTCTTCTTTTGTTATCCTTCTTCATTGTCCAACTTTCAGAAGCATAGGATGTAGAGCAAAGACCATGACTTTGAACAGGCACATTCTGGTCTATAAAATGATATCCTTGTTCCTTAGAAATCTGAAAATGTCCATGACCCAATGCAATTTCCCCAGTGCAACAATGTCTAGGGAGCAGATAATGGGGCATGAGGTCACAAAGCCATAAGCGTCTTTCTGAAAGGGCCAGAGAGTGAGAATAACACAGTCCCTCATGGCCCCAGAACAGAAAGCAAATACAGCGCCTGTAGACTAGCCTAATGGAGCCTACAGCAGCCACACCAGCAGCAAGAGCTTCACTGTTGATTCACAGACTTCACTCATAGGTGAGGTTTCAAGAATGGGGTTTATTAGGGAAATAAGTTGGAGAGTGGAGGGGGAATATCTCCCAATTCAAGTCCAGCAGTTCCAAGCCAGATTAACAGCAAAATACAATTTCTGGTTCATAGAAATATTACTTATCCACTCACAAAAATAACGTTATTTTAGTTTTTAAATATGCAAACCAAGATGAAACTGACTGTCGTGGAGTCAATTTGCCTTACTGTACAATTTGTAACTGTACAGGACAGAGTAAAAATGTCCCGTAAGGTTTCAAAAGCTGTAAGCTTTAAGGAAGGGGACTGACACGTCTTCTCCTGCACAACAGCTCGTAAGTTTAAACTACCAATCCTAAGGCAAGCAGTCAAGCACTTGGAGCATCACCTAGCTCTTCCTTACATCACACCAACAAACTCAATTCATTGTCTTTGAGTCAGAATCAACTTATAGGTGACCCTCCACTGGGTTTCTGAGGTTATAAACTGCCCAAGAGGAAACTGTCCATCTTTCTTCCATGGAGTGATTAGTGGATTCAAAGTACCAGAGAGTGCAACCTTTGGGTTAGCAGCTCGACTCTCTATGGACTACAGAATATGACACCAGAACTTCCTCTTCACTTAAGTATGTTGTTGTTGTTGATTGCCATTGAGCCCAGTACAACTCATAGTGACCCTATGAACAAAAGGCCTGAAGCCTTTCTATATCAATCGTCATTTATCAAAGTTCACAGAGTTTCCAGAGGCATGCTGTTTAGGAAGTGGATGCCACTCCTGCTTCATTTAAATATGTTGTTGTTGTTGTTGTTATGTGCCGTCGAGTCGTTTCCGACTCATAGCGACCCTATGCACAACAGCCCTAAACCCTGCTCTA